TTTTACTCTCCACAAATCAGTCAAACGATGTCCTTTGATCAGATGAAGCTAACGGTACCTAAAGGACACTTAAAGGATTTGAACAGAATCAATAGTAATAATAACAATAATAATAATAATAATAATAATAATAAATAACAAGAAGGTGTTTTAGGCACCATCACTGGAATTCGTCAATAAAATCAAATCAATCTTCCAAAACGTAAACAATCCTGATCTCATCATCATACAGCCTTTATGTGTTGCTGCATATGAGGTAGAGCCATTCAGCTTAATAACAGTAGTTTTGCTGAGTCTCATCCATCCAAGCTATTTCTTCTATTTCTTTTCTTTTACTCTTCTCCTTTTGCCAAAAATGGACCACAAAGTAATTCCCTAGGTTCAGAATATTGTGGAGCACTCAATTTTTTTATACGACCTGTGTTAACGTCTGTTGTGCGGACCCCAGCACTTCTCACATTCGATTCGTTCCCTTGCATCCATCATCCACGAAAGTATTCCAACTTTTATGCGTGGCTTCGGTTGCTGCTTGACGATTTTTATTTCATCTTAAATGTCGTAGAATGCTGATCGAGCAATTCTCTCTGGAGTCCTCAGATAGCGTGGTGAAGCGTTCCCAATTGTACTGCAGACAGTGATTTTTTCCTGGGTATGTCCGGCGCCTACTTCCCAATCCAGGAGGGATGAGATTGTTGGCGGGCCCGGAGCGAGATCGAACAAGCACCGCGCTCGTGATGACCGGTATTACTACCGCTGTGCTTGGAAGTCACGAAAAAAGCGATGCTGAAGAAGGCGTTACAGCCGAAACGTCAGCTACTGTTCTATTGTATTGTGTGTTTCTCTATGGAAGTAAATGTATGCTGCTTAACAACCTCGCGATTGCTGATAATTTTTTGAATTGAATCATATTCCTATGCAGAGGTTAATAGAAAGTCAATGCTGGAAACCTGGGGTCTGAGTTTTACAAATATCTCAGCATCATCGTGGTTGTATTTCAAATAATACCTTGCCATAAAAATTAATACCCAGTAAATAAAAAGCTAAACATTGGAAAGTTTTTCTTTGCCAATTATATTCTCCTTATAATAATAATCAAACTTCCAGTCCTCCATTTCTGTTTGGTGTTCAGTTTACTGTTGTTTATGAAAGGAATTCTCAAGCAAAAAACCTATTTTGTCAGAATTCTCACGTGCCGACAGCCAACGATCCACGGCAACGCAGAAAGGCAGGACAGGAAGAAGAAGCGGCAACGGTTTGAGAGACCCTCCTTTTGACGAAGTAGGGGAACAATGTAGATTCGTTCGTTCTTCAATCGACGAATTGAAATGTAACTAGGATATGCTATATTTGATGCTTGTACTCTTATAGAGATAATATCTGTATAATCACGGAAATTTTGCTGGATGCAACATGTTCTTTTATATTATTCCACTGCGTAATCCTGATGTCCTTGGTTTTTCCGTTTACAGTAAGTAATGGTAAGAAAAAAAGCAGCAAATCTTTGCCCACATCACTTTTTCTTGAAAAGCTGAGACGAATACGAATTGGAATCGTACCGTTGGACTAGAATGAACAATGTGTCATCTGGTTTGATCTCAAAATTTCTCTCAAATTCAAACGAACTTGAACCACCTCACCACTGAGGCTATGGGTCCAGGCAATTTTTTGAAAGCTGACGACGAAATAATGGAAAACCACATTAATAGTGCTATTAACACCAATCTATAACTATTGAAGGAAACTCTGGAGATTTCCAAGCGCTAATGATGTCGTTGTGGAGCGCGCTTAGCGCAGTACCCGGCAATACATGTGGGATCGATCCCAACGCCCTGGCCTACAAACTCTTCCATCCAGTCGGTAAACTGGTACAAGACTTGTCTGGAGCAGCACTGGCTCTATACACTGGCAGGCCACCGCGAGTCATTGTAAAGGCCAAATATGCATTCAATAACCTCCAACGATGCTTAATGAAGCCGAATGCATCGCGCATCCCAAAGGGATAGATCAACGCGGATAGACTTATCGCTGATCCTTTAATGATGTTGTTCAACAGGCTCAAGATCTTGGTTCGATCTACATCGGCCGACCAAAGCTGCCATCCATGAGCGCATGGGAAAATGGCACAGAGTCTGGGATAAGCGCTCCCAAAATGCAGAAATGGCATCCTGAATGTGGTATTGGAATTGGAACTGAGTTGAAAAAACAAAGAAAACACCATAACCGATTATTATGTTGCTTCTATTTGGCCTTTTAATTTATTCTCCAGTGGACGGTTCTATGAGAATCACAGTTATATTATAGCAAAGCTCCCTCCAAGATCAATCAAAGGGCAGTAGCTTCATATGATAAGGACTTGGGCAGTGATCTAACACAACGGCTAACGGCAAGCACTCAACAAGCATTCAAAAAGACGGCAAGGAAAGAAGGAAATTGACCTCATCGTCATAATCCTTCCCAAAGTGATTGCACAGATGGCAGTTGTAAGATATCGAACTTAGTGGAATAAGAAGTGCTAAGACCTATACAACAACTAAAAGTAGACAGCCAAATATTTCAGTGTGCCTATTTGCATTAGTTTGGAGCGATATTTTTGCACGTAAATATGCATTAATGGAAGACAAAAAACGTAAAAGGATCAGTGTTAATCAATCGCTTTGCTATTCAGTTAACTCCATTCAGAGCATTGGTGAGAATGTACACTAATATTACTATACACTAATATTCGCTTTAATTTCAATGATGCTGAGATATTTAAATATCTCAGCATCTTTGAAGTTATATTTCGCAATATACTCTGCTGTTAAAAAAAGAGTAGGCAGTAAATAATAAGTTAAAATTCGCCTTAATGTTGTAAAAATCCTGCAGTAACCAATAGAGAATTTCATTTCTATTTTATGTGACAAGTTTATGTTTCGTAATAGAACTTTCGAGAACGAAAACACTTGACACGGTTATCGCAACTGCTATCTGCTTGATGGACCTTACCTGTCTAGAATCAGCTGATTTTTCCAAAGATAGCTCTAATGCTCTAACTATTAACTATTATACTAACCAATAAGTAAAGGTTTAATATACTCTACAAAATCCAAACAGAAATCGCTTTGAGAGTCTTAGATGTTTTTTCTTTTTACTATCTCGTATTGGGTATCAATCAATATTGGTGAAGGTTACGGAACGATCACCTCGCCGGTGACTGAATCGTCAACACCAACGTTCGTACTATTTGCTAACTTTGCTGTAGATTCCGAATTTCAAAGCCATAATTGCTGTTTTTGTTGTGTTTCCAGTGTATCCCATTCATGTTTGATGTATCTTTCCTAGACAGTAACACTCATAGTATCTCGACTATACGTTCTATGGTTGCCCGACACACATGAACACCCATTTATCACAGCTTGGAATGGCAATTCCATTTTTTCCTGCCTTCCACCGAAGAAGAACAGGCGCTTAGAGTCTAATTTGGTTGATCACTCATATGAGACACGTAGTTCCTTTGATTCTTGTGCTTTAGGCTTGATTATAAAATTTCTTATGGACATGTGACTTGATAACGAGCATCCTCACGTTCACGAAGTTGGTAGAAAACAAGTAGTGTTTTCATACTTTTAGCAAGGTGCCAGTCAATTAAACGATTTCGTACTCGTTTTGTGCTAAGGATTAGATACGCATTAACGTCATAAACTTTTCATGAGATTATAATACTTAGTCGTCTAAAGCCTAATGCGAACAGGCGATATTCTCTTGGATTATTGAGCTTGCACGAGATTGCCATGACGAACAAGAGCATCACATAGAAATAGAACTCCCATTGGTTCGCTGTCTCATTGTAGCCATAGGGTATAACCTGTAATAAGCTGAGAAAGGCGAAACGAAGGAGTAGCATTATGCAGTGGTGAACATAGCGCAGCATAAGGAGTGATCGAGTCGCTGATAGAACATAATCGACAATCGCACATTTGGAATCAAGGTCCTTAGGGGTTTAAAATTTTTGGGGGTTAGAACCCAGATGAACAAGTTTTGTGCTACACGCAAAATTTGGAATCAAGCTGGTGTTAACAAATGTTGGTAGCCACATGCTGTCGTTCGCTAACATGGAGACAAAGCCATGCTAAACTTATAAAACCTGTTTCTATCACAACGACAACAACTTATAGAAGTTGATTTACAATGAGGTCCACAACGAACGCTTGTTACCAGATAGGAGGTCCTGGTATAGCAGCGGGTTCCAACATAATTTTTATTTTTCGGAGTTATGCTGGTTTAGCCATCGTGTTTCCCTGGAGTTCCGAGGTCAGCCTGGCCAAAGTCTGTCTCAGGTCGTCACCACCATAGACAGTCGCCGCCATTGTGGATCAGAGAGAGATTTGCCACCATGCAACTAGTTTGATACCAGGACGGTGGTGGATCCTGGTATTGGCGCTTCCTGATGGAAACTGCCCATCGCGCAGCTTGATGCGTAGGAACAACTAGTAGCCACGATGAGGCGGTATAACGCTACGAGCCATGTTCCTGTTATGTTCGCCAAAACAGGCGGAGCATTGGTTTTAAAAGACAAGCATTTAGCTGCTTTTTGTGTTGTTCTTCTAAGAAGTATTAGATGCTGTTTTATACTTCTAAAACTCTTTCTCCGTCCTACCGGCCTTCCTAGTTCGTTTGGTATATTGTCTTGATCTTTAAAACGTACACATAAGGATTATTTATAGACGTTTATTACGTTAACCTTGGATCATATATCACATTTAGATTCGTTTCTTGTGAAAGTAACCGCTTCCTTCTCTTGTCAGAAAATCTGCCTAAATTTCTTTCTGACTCTGTCGCGTTGGCATGTCCTTGCTGTGGACCTTGAAAATACAGGCTTAAAATTCTAAAATTACGTCATGAGAACTGATAAGAGCTTGTTTTTTGTTTTGCAGGTGAGAAGATAGTGTTCTTGACGAAATAACGCTGTTATCAGCCATTCACTGGTTTTATGCTTTGATAACCCTGGTCTAAAATTGGACATGTTCACAATGCGGGTGTTGTCGATGATGAGGATTCCATTAGTCCTAGCGTGGTTGATAGTGGTGTTAGCAAGTGACAATGTGAATGAGGTGAGTAGCAACCTTTTTCCATTAATGTTTTTTTCTGTTCATAAGAAAAAAGCGCTAGCAAAAGTACTGCGTTTGATGGATCTGGGCTCGAGGTAACCACTTCGGGAAAAGTTTTCTGCCTTACTCTTTCGTAGATTTTTTTTGTAATTATCGAAACGATGTATTAAAGAGGCAGAAAAACTTTCTGAAGTTATGTCTATATATACGCTGATAACCATACTAGGACTCTTGTCGCGGTCGGCATTAATACCTGCTAATAGTTCCTAAAAATTATGTCGTACATTTGATGCTTGCCATCTGATGCTTTACTTTTAAGGAACACCATGATGAATTTAATGTTCGATCAATGGAAGTGATGCTAATTGACGTGCGAAATGTCATTCGATCAAGCCTACAGAAATGCATAGCTAATTGGGATAACTCCTTAGAAAGCTTTTTTTACGATCGACTTATAGAAAATTATTGGTAGGTTTGAATAGTTGTTTATGAATTTAATGGAATCACCTTGATGACGCTCTATTTTTTTACCATCTCAGCACAACTGGACTACGTGCTCTGGTGTCGAACTATGGTATCCGTTCACCTAGCAAAGCCGGCTAAGCTTTGAGCCGACATTTTCACTTGGGAATTTAGCTAAAATTAAAGCCACAGCAGCTTTTTGCTTTCTACCAGTTGTTATTATTCGTCAAAAACTGGTGAAAAACAGATATTATGGTGAAGGGGTGACGTCCTTCGTGTTACATGAAAGCCGTCCATTCCATGGTTTTGACTCTTTCCAGGAAGCATCATGGACTTTACTGATTCATGACTATGTTATTCGAAGATTTTTAGAACTATAAGTGCTACAAATGAGATAGGGCGTGTGTAGCACAGTGGTTGGAGGCGCCCTGCAACACACATGGGACCGATCCCCGCGCCGCTTGCCCTCCATCCCTTCTGGATCGGTAGATTGGTATCAGACTTGTCTGGGAGGATAGCATACATCGGTAGGCCACCGCTAGTCATTATAAAGGCGTGATATGCATTCAATCACCTCTAAACGATGCTTAATAAAGTCGAATATATGGCACATCCCTCAGGCACTGATCAATGCCGAAACCAATAACACCGAGAGCAATATATAAAAATACAAGTGAGACGGCTGATTGCGGCGTGGTCATTTTGATTTCAGGAAAGTCGCTCTCCTCATAGCCAAACAGTGGTATCCAGAAAGCGTTGAATGTCTCAAACTAATCAAACCTTTGCTAACAAAATACAGGAAACTACTGATGGCGATAGAGAAAAGGTGACTTTTGTAGATGATTCTTCACCGGTTCTTTTCGTTTATGAAGCTTTTCGTGCGATATCCGAATTCCTCCAAGGAACTTAAAAAAGGGAACAGGTAATGAATGAAAAACAAGAACATGGCCAAAATTTGAGCCACGTTTACCTGAGTTTTCAAAACAAGACTTTTTCACTTCGAAAAGGATAAGCCTCATCATGAGGAACAGAAAGGTACTGCAGTCGCTGTCTTTCTTTTGGACAACTGTGTTAGTGTTGAAATTTTAGAATAGATATATGACTTTAGGAAAATCACCTACCTTCCCATCTTTTCATGGTTTTATTTTAAATCTCTTTTTATTATAATTTAATCTTCTGGGTGGTCCCATTATAAATTTGTTTTTATTTGACTTTTCTAATTTGTCATTGGTTGCAGCCGAGCATTGAGCTGTAGATGAAATAATATTAACCATAGTTATTGGTGAAGCAAAATAAATAAGCAACAAGTTCTACGACATGCTCTACTTAAAAAGAAAAACGCATAGCCTTCCATTTATCAGGAAACTGGATGAGGAAGACGAAATCGTAGATGGACTTGATGCGTTTTTAAATCAAAACCAAATTCATCAACTTCGTCATTTGCACGAACACGGCGATAGTGATGCTATTGAAAAAGCAGTAAGTGTTCCAGAATCGACGCATTGACTACTTTCTACATCGATCTTACGATGCTTAAAATCTTTATATGTTGGCATTCAGCCAAATTCTGAATTTCTCTCATCTTCAGCAGTGAACCACATTTCGTTCACATGCTTTCGGTCCATTATCTAAGGCTTTTTTGTGGGCCGTGGTAGTCTCTTAGTGATAACATGTGACCGATCTAACCACCAGTGCTTCACCGGTTCTTTTGGATGCGTACAAAGTTGATAATTATTTGGAAATGCAGGGAATTTCAGTTCTCAGTTGAGTAGCTAGTTTGAGCAAACTAATAAATGTCACTTAGAGTCTTCACCTACCACGTAATCTAACCTAATCTTCACCTAAAGTGTCCGAAAAAGCGAAGATTCATAGAAGATGTTGCTCTTGTTACAGTACTCTCATCCTCAAATTTCTGTAGTCTTTCAGATTCACTGTACTAGAGTAGATCATTATTAGAACGAGCGGAATGGGAGAAGACCTTACCCCCCCCCATCAGATCTATTAGCGGCGATGGTGTAAAATATTAAGACCGATAGGTGCTTTTGAAGGCTAAACATTTTGGCACGTCTAGGAGAAAAGTCTTAGAATAGAATGTCTCGAAAATCCAATATTTTAGTTACAGTACTCACCAGATTCGTGGTGCGTGTAGAGGACTAATCATATTGAGGTAATGACAACATCTCATCATAAAAAAGTCCTCAGAGCCTGTTCCATTTCAAATTCAGAATTAAATAATTGGACAACTTGTAGGAAAATATTTTATAGTTATATTTCTATTGTGATGGTTTTTAAAATTTCTGTAGAATCAATGAAAAATATGAGATGTTCATAAACGCTAGGCAAAAGGGCGATGTTTTTTGCCCTAACTTAGGCTGGTAGTTTCCTAAGGTCTGTGTTTTAAAAGAATGATTACAAAGAGAAATATTTCTTTCTAACTCGAAGCATGTGTTGCCGGGCGAGTGTTGCGCAGTGGTCAGACGGGCCTTGCAATACACGGTGGAATCGATCTCCGTGCCCATGGGCCACCAAGCATTCCACTCCTCCAGGGTCGGCAAACTGGTACCAGACTTGTCTGGGAGGATAGCAGCACTGGCTCGGTACATCGGTAGGCCACCATGAGTTATTGTAACGGCCAGATATGCACCCAGTCACCTCCAACGATGCTTAATGAAGTCGAATGCATGGCGCATCTCTCAGGGATTGATCAAAGCCGGGAGCTTTATTCTTTATCCTTTTTAACTCGAAGCATTATTCTGGCTGTTATATGATAGCGATTCTAGAAGAAAACAATGAAATGACTAGATGTCGAGTTGTCTATAAACGAGTTTTCAACCATACCACATTTTTTTTCGCTCGATCGATATTTCAAAGGATTGCCACTGAGTCGAAAAACAGCTCTTATCGATGAATTTCTCGGATACAAATTGAAGCGAATTCGACGCGACACTGCAAGTGAGTTCTGGATTCTTCCATGATGTCGTTTAGATATATGCTGCGTGGTTGACGGACAACAGTGGTACCGTAGTGCTGGGACACCTTAGATAGCCACTATTTTTCCCCCTGTTTTATTCTTAGGTGTCTTTTCAGCCTCTCAACAACAAATAGTTGATTTCGAGGAAGAGGTACTGGAGCCGGAAGAACTCGAACCAGAGTTGCTGGCTTGGCAGACTCTCAGACATGTGAGTGTTTACCTGTTTTCCGAGAAAAACCAAGAAAAAGAAAACAAAAATTTACCAGCCCGAATTCAAGTTCAAGTTTAAAAATCCAGCAAATTCATCTCTACTTTTTCTTATTTTGCTGTAGGAATGAAAAGTGTCAAGATTTGATTGACTTTGCATCATCGTTGTGAATAGCTGACATACAACGAACAGGAAATCGGAGAAACAGTTAAAAATGAAGACAGCTCAGCCCGGTGTTAATTTTATATCTACCATAAAACTCTTCGAGGGTCTTTCATGTCAGTATGAAAATTTTTTTTACACTATAGGATGTTCTCTTTCTTTTCGTTATTGAATAATTCCAATACTTTAGAATGTTCTTATGCTGTCGATTTCTTACAGAAGAATCTGATTAGTCAAATGATAACTGGTAAGGCGAGTAAATGGGAAGTAATGAACGAGATTGGTGATCAGTTCTACCACTTACGGAAAGAAGTTCGAGCTCGATACAAAACGTAAGTGAAAAGTGAGGTTGAGTGGTAGCAGGCTCCACTATCCACGTATCCATCGCATGCTTTTGAAGAAACTTGCAAAACTATTGTGAACGAAACCTGAAGAATGTGATTGGTGAAGAGAATTTCAACGTAATTCGAGGAATGTATCTGGATACCGTTCCAATGGACCAAATAGAAACCAAATTTAATGAACTTGTAGCTGAACTACCGGATGAGCGGGAACGTCTGCTATCAGGTAAAGAAACCAGTTTTAAAGCAATAAAACAATGCAAATTTTGCACTATATGATCTCGACCAGCTTTAATCGTTTACCTAGAAATTTGGACGAGCACCCGATAAACTTCATTTACACCCGTTGAGTAGCTCAACTGCTTTGCGGGGTCCCTGTGTTTGATGAACAACAAGGAGGACCATGCTTTTGACATGGGCTTGTTTTGTAGTTTTGGAGAGAAGGTAGCTACCGATATCTCGTTGAACTTTGCAGTGGGTATCGTATTCCTTAAATAAACTTGCAAATAAAAATATCGAACCCATCCTTAGCTTTGGCGGTTCTGCGAGAAATATGTATCCCTAGTTCCCATTTTACCGTTCTGTATTGCAGGTGGACCTCCGAATATATTATACAGATTCACAAAAACAATTTATATCGTATCTTTAACTTGTGTCTTCATAAACCATCTATTAATTTATCGTTATTAGATCATTATGCGGTGTTTTGCCGAAAGATCTTCCGACTTGTTCCTTTTGAACCGACGGACTTGACCACTTGGCTGACGTCATCTCAAAAAATGGCACTTGGCGAAATGATTCAGGACCCAAACGTAAAGGATGCGCAGATTTATGATAAGGTTTGTTTGAGTGAGGATTGTCTGGAAACGCAAAAGTCAAACTGTAACGGCGAAGTAGATTGTAGTTAGCCGTCCCTCGGGCTCATTTCTTGTCGTTCAATAGCAAAGACGATATTGTCATGGTGACGGCCATTGCGACGTGTTCTAGAAGTTTTGCATGAGTATTTAATCTTGTCCGAGACAAGTATAATTTGAGGTGGACATTATTCAGATGTATGAATTCTATAAGAACGCGACTGGAGAGCAAAAGGAGGAGGCTAGTGATATAATCGAGGCAGGATGCCGACACTTCATTGCACATATGTTTGGCGATGACAACGCTGAGGTATTTTAGTCTATTCTGTTCGCAGCAAATTAATAACTATGTGTATAAGAAGGGCACTATCAGGATCATGAAAGAAAAATGAAAGTAATTCGAATGATCATGTAATATGGGAAATCGCTTAGTAATGTTTCCTATGACATCTATTAGTCATGGCCCTATCTCTTCTCGCCGGTTTTTACAATTTTGCCACCGTTAAGTCGAGCTTTCGTAAGTGTTAGGAGTCGACGAGAAGGTGGCAGTACTCTTCTCTTAGAAACTAATTGGTGAACTGCCATCAAGACTACCGCTTTAATGTCATAATAATCGTGTCTAATGCGCATTCACTGTAGTTACCAGATCTAGAAATTTAACAGAATGTAATCTGATCTCAGCGATTTATGCATGCGTAAGAACTTGAAAACAGAAAGCGATACCTCAGTTGAAGATGTCTATGATGGTGTCTTTTTCATTACTACTACGCTTTCAGGATTCACAGCAGAATTTGTAGAGCGATGGCTTCCAATGCAAATTAAATATGTGATATTTTTCCAGGAACTGGAAGAGCTAAGAGAATCAGGTGTGATGTCGAAGCAGAAACTTGCCGCGAAATTAGCGACGCATGTTAGTGAGGTGTCTAATGCGTTAGATCGGAAAAGGGCTGAGTTAGTTTTTCTATGTATCACATTTACAAAACTTTATATATCATGTTTCTTTGTTAACTGTTCAATTGTAATCCCCAATTTCGTCCCCGCATTTCAAAGCTGCCAGAAGTATCAAATCGATCGTAAGGCACGCAAAATATTATACAATGTCTCCGTAAAATAAAATATTGAATTGTCTGAAAAACAAGTGGTTATTACCGGACAATCAGCGCTATCGATAACAACCATCTTGTATAATAGAGCACCGCCGGGTGAGTGTGACTCATTCGAGAGTGATGCTCCACTGGGGAAGATCTAGCTTCACACGCGACGAAGACGAAACCTCGAGAACACGAACGACTGTGGATCATCGACTCGGATCGTCGGCTTTGATGAAGACGATACCGTAGAAACGCTAGCGTTTACTTTAACGAAAATTAAAAAAATGTTTTTCATCAATAAGCAGACACGAGGTTGTTAACCTCGTGTCTGCTTATTGATGAAAAACATTGAATTATCAATTAATGCCGAGGTTAACAGAAAGTCGGTCATGGGAATTAAAAAAATGATTTATCAATCTCGTGTAAGCTTGCCAAAAAAGAATACCTATTGATTAGTCACATCGAGGTTAAAGGAAAGTCGGTTTTGAATTGAAATATTATGACTATAATGTTACTGAGATATTTGTAAAACTCCGGACAGCAGGTGTCTGCGATGGGAACGAACGCGCTATTATCCTTTCCGGGGAGTAACGCGTTCACCACCACACCATGCGGGTCCTTCGCTTCGCCTGTCTCTCAGCTAGTTCTATCGGTCAGAGCCATCAGCAATCATCCGTCAACGAGATTGATCTGGTGAGCCCAAATTGGCAGTAAACCCAGTTAAGCTGAGAGTCAGCTGAGCTGAGTCGAAATCACAATGTTGGCTTTTTACATGCTGATTTATCACCTATTATTTCCTCACGGCAGAGTATTATGTCTGATAAAACCACAATGGTATTGAGATATTTGCAAAACTCCGGACTCCCACGGCATACACCAGCGGTCCGGAGTTTTGTAAATATATCAGCAACATTAGCGTTATATTTCACATAATACCCTGCCGTTAAAAATAGTAGACAATAAATAAAAAACTGACGTTGTGATTTATGTCATAGCTTTAGCTTGACTGAGTTCATGCCGATTTGTGCTCTAGAGATCAATCCAGTTGATGGGCGTTTGCTGATAGCGCCTATAGGTCAATAACATAGCTGAGAGACACGAGAAACGAAAGTGTCGCATGGTATGGTGGTGAACGCGTTAACCCCCCACCCCAACGGGTAACAGCGTGTTCGGTCCCCATCGTAGACACCAGCGGTCTTGAGTTTTGCAAATATCTCAGCAACACTGTGGTAATATTTCGCATAATACCCTGCCATTAAAAAATAGTAGGAAGTAAATAGAAAGTTGACAGCATTGAAACATTATAGTGTGGTGTGAAGCTCTCAACTTTCTCTGTATTTTGAAGCTCTCTCTAGGCATGGGTGATATCCTAAACTGGATATGACATAATGAGCTTATTCTATACTTGAAAAATCTCATAATGGACAAATTTCGTTGTGTACATTGCCCTACGAGATTTAGGAGTAGAGATCAGCAAAGAAAATATACCATCGGGGTGAGTTATCCAATGGATGTAAAAGACAAATACCACAGCTTTTGCTTATGTATAGTTGTCTTTTCATCTCACATTATTGCTTTAAAGCTACAATAGAAGCAAGCTAACCTAGGGGAGCTCGTAGAAAGTTCGTCTGGATAGTAGCTTAGTTGTAGCTAGCTGGATAGGACAGCTTTAAATAACCGGGAAAAAGAAGGAAATTTGCAAAAAAACTTTCCTACCGCTGTCATATCAGAGGCGCTTTCGCGCTGTGGCGAATTAGACCTCTCATGTTTGGAATTTTTTGTCTAGCTATGCGCATAGTGCTTTTCGGTCGATAGCTGATACGTAGATATAGTCATTGGTAGCTTAATCTGCTTTCTCAGAGTTGAAGTTAGTAGAGCATACGTTTAAGGTGTACTCACATTAAGCTGTATAGTGCAAAATGTAGAAATTGGTACGTGTGAAGTTTCAGGAGTTCCTTATCCATCTGCAGCCGCATCTATCTGGGATACGACGGTTCGTGCGAATGTAATGGCCATGCGTCTGTTTGTGACAGTTTTCGGCACTATTGCCTGAACTGCACAGGCAACACTTACGGGATTCAGTGTGAAATGTAAGCTTGGATCGCATAATACTTCCAGAGATTCTATGCGCTCGTTATCGCTCTCTTTTAGTAAATCGACCGATAACACTAAAAAATCGCAAAGTTATCAGTACAATAAACGAGTAAGAGGATATATTATGAAATAAAAGCGCTGTTTAAAAAAGAGTGCTCTGAGAACGATGACTATGAGAAGTTCTTCCACATAAGATATCGGAAGCTCATATTACAATGTCAAAATACAATCTTACAGCTTTTTTCCTCTACATCTTAATTATTTCTCAAAACTCGTATGCTAAGCTTTTTGCAAACCAAAAAAATCATATTTCAATTTTCTTTGTCATCGGAGCAATGGTGATCTTAATATGGGCTGATCTCAACTTTAAATGCTCATTTCTGAAAAAGATTGCATATTTGTCAAGTATAATTCGCTTATTAGGTGTATGGAATCTTTCTCTGGTAATCCGCTAGGTGGCGGTGAATGTACTCCAATCGAAGCCGAAGAAACTTCATGTAATTGCAACAATCACTCGGACGTATGCGACACTGAGGGAAAATGCCAGGTAATAGGGCATATGGGTTGATAAGTGGACGAATTCTCCGGTCTTGATGATTAAATTCGCCACATTACGTAGATCTTAGACCATGTAATGGATCATTAGGTTTCACAAATATCGACATTTGTTATTGATTCATCCTAACAAGGAGCCAATCAGTCATGAATAATACAGCGACTGATTTGAAGCAGTCAGTCACTTCTTGACTCTGTTAAGATATTCACGTTCAAATTTCAGGCTATTTGTTGAGTTATCTATTCTTTGTTACAGTTATGTCTTCACAACACTACCGGTGACCATTGTGAAGGTTGTGCCGCCGGGTTTTACGGTGACGCGAAAAATGGCTCACGAGACGATTGTACCAGATGTCCTTGCCCGTAAGCAGTTGACGTTTTCACAGAACGAGCTTAGTTTAGGGTTTCATAAGACCGATAAAAAAAAACCCAGTTCCAGTTTTAGATATTTGAGTTTAAAGTTTTTACCAGTAGTACTACCGATTCAATGTTTATTATTATTACAATATTCGTAGAGATGGTGGCGATTGCTTCGTAAACGAACAGAATCTTGTGGAGTGCAATGAATGTCCGACTGGAAAACATGGAATTATCTGCGAAGAGGAAGGAGCAGCACAGAAAACTGTGGAGAAGGCAAGAGAAGAAGTAGAGGAAGGCAAGGAGGAACCGAGGAAGAAAGCGAAACCTAACAAAGAAATCAGTGAGAAACGCGAAAGCACTGAAAACTATCTTTCACACAGCAACATGACTAATCAAACAATAAGCGTTGACGGTGATGGATAGAAGACTGGATAATTTGTAGTTAAACCATACTAAAATATATTGTTACATGCTATGGCGTAGAGTGATGGTGATGATAATAATGAGAGTAATAAAAAAGATAAAGCTCTCGGCGTTGATCAATCTCTGAGGGATGCGTCATGTATTCGACTTCATTAAGCATCGTTGGCAGGTGATTGAATGCATATCTGGCCTTTACAATGACACGAGGTGGCCTACCGATGTATCGAGCCAGTGCTGCTATCCTCCCAGACAAGTCTGGTACCAGTTTGCCGACCCCGGAGAGAAGGAAGGCTTGGTGGGCCATGGGCGCGGAGATCGATACCACGTGTGCGTTGCAGGGCTCCTCCGACCACTGCGCCACACGCGCCCTTACTAAATTTATAGTATCTGTAAATCCAAACCATAACGTGTGCACGTTGTTGAACTGCTAAATGGTACGCGTCCAGTAAGAACAAAAAGAATCCACGAAACAGACATTACAGCGGTCAACATCACCGTAATGATTCTCAGCCACCCTTCGAAACACCAGATGGTAAGATAAAATGACGGATTATCCAAGATGGACATTTAATGCACTTAGATTTTCGAAAAAAAAAAGAAGGTGAGGTGATAGCACAGTGGTGGCTACATGCCGCACCGGACCCAGCAAGCCTCTAATCCCTTCCGGTTAGAAAATTGGTCCCGGACTTCTCCGGAAAAATTCGCTGCGGAATCCGAAGCTGCCTTCAACCACTTGGCGACTCGATAACGCAAGAGGTTTCAGCGGTCAAAATGGAAAACTGTTTCTCATTACCAAAAAGTAATGTAGACCCCAATGGTTTCTATTTCGATTAATAAACTTTGCTCTGAGCTGACATTTGCCATTTTAAAGAGGAATAGCGAATAAATTTCCAGACAACCTAGTAAAAACATGGAACCCAGAAATCGTGTTTATAAACCAAGACTCACATATTAAATAGTGAAGCGATTAGATAAACGAAATTTCGCAGGGCAGGACGCTATATCCTAAGATCCAAGTTTCCGTGTCTATGAAAGATGGATCCTTATAAACTGATCTTCTTAAGCTGAAGCGAGGTTGGTACAGATCTCCGTTGTCGTTGTCGTTGTCGTTGTTTTTGATGTTATTAAACGATGGCTGACGTTTCGGCGACTTCGCCTTCCTCAGAGCCTGGACGTACTTTTATGTTAGAATACTTTTTATTATTCGGTGGAAAAGAAGGTTAAAGTATTAATGAAGATCAAACTTTCAAATAGACGCCATATTGAACAGAAAGGCCACTCACCATGATGTTACGTGCGGGACTGGCCCACACGTAGTTCACGCGATCAAGACACGCCCCGGGGTCAAAATATCATTTTGAAATAGGGCGCCAGGTCACGCGTATAGTGAGGCATTCGTCTTTCCGGTTCATCTTTGGATTTTTGAAATTTATCTAAAACGCCTCAAGAGTTTTGCGCGTTGATGTTTTCGATTCCTGCGCTAGGATCCGC